GCAGCATGGTCGGTCTCTATTCGAGATTTGACGATCATGTCGTCCATGTATACCTCGAGTATATCTCCGATCTCATTGCGGAAGACCTTGTTCATCATCCGCTGGAATGTTTCTCTTGCGTTTTTCAGATCAAAGGGCATTATGATGTAGTAATAATTTTCTGAGCTGGTTATGAAGGCAGTACAATGTTTTGTCGCTCATTGCCATTGGGATTTGGTTATAGCAGGAATATGCGTCCATGAAAGATAAAATTTTATAGTCGGCCAAGTTGTCGACCAGTATATCAATATTAGGCAAAGTAAATGCATCTTTGGGGCATGCCCGGTTAAGATCGGTATAGTCAACACACATATGCCATTTTCCATTATTTTTTTAACGAGTACAACATTTGACAACCAGGTTAAATACCGGACTTCAGAAATAAAATTTGCCTATAGGAGGTCTTTTACAGCTCTTTCAGCAACCTTCATTTTCTCGGGGGACTGCCTACGCCTACATTGTACTACTGCTCTAGCGGATGGAACAATGACGAGTTGATGACAGGCGACCATGGGGTCGAGGCCAAGAATCTCTGCAGTGCTCCACGCGAACAAATCTGCATTCTCCCTCGAGCAGACCTTGATCCGCTTCCTTGCCAGGTCGGAGAGTCCGGTGCCAATCTTCACCCCTTTGTTCGGGTCTTCACCGAGAGGGACAAGCTCGAAGTCCCAATCCGGTATTGGTCGGAGGAGCCCTTGCTCGCCGTTGGGAGATTCGTCTTGGTCGAAGTGGGTGTCCAACGAGATTGAGTCAACCTTTGGAGGAGCCCTCTGCGCTTCTGCCTTGATGGGTTATGGCTCTGGTCGCGCTGTTGTAGCTCTCTTGGTGGGTCGTGCCCCAGTGTCGACTGTGTTTTGTCCCTTGGACGTTGCATTGAAGCATCTCCAGGCAGCTGCTAGGTCGCCCTGTATGGTGGCGACGCATGCCCTCTTTGTGTAGAACTTCATCTTCAGATGGACGGTGGAGGGCACCGCAGTCAGCTCTGCCAGTGTCAGCCTTCCAAGGATGCAGTTGTAGAGAAAGGGGAAGTCGATAACCAGGAAGCGCACCTTGACTTGCTTGGTCGCAGTATCTTCGCCGAAGGTGACCATGAGCTCCACGTACCCCCATGCCTTGGAGGTCGAGCCGTTAAAGCCCTGCAGGTCGGACCCCATGTATGGTGAAAGGTGAGAGTCGTCGAGCTGCAGGGTTCTGAAAAGCTGGTTGTACATCATGTCGACGGAACTCCCTTCATTGACTAGGACGCGATGAACATAAGAGTTAGCCATTCTCACCCTAATTAGGAGAGGGATTGCTGAATTGGGGGCCCCTTCGAGCAATTCCTCGAGGTAAAAGGTGATTGGCTCCGATCTGCCCTTAATCCTCTCGAAGGTCACCATTTGCGGGGGGGGTCGACCAGCTCGTCCAACTTCCTCTTTGATGAATTTATAGTTATGTCATTAAACCCTCCACCATTTATGACCATGACGGAGGGGAAGCTTTCTGACCTGCTGTGCATGGACAAAGGCTCTCCCGTGTGTTCGGGGACGTAGAAGTCCTCTGGTCTCGTAACGGAGAATGCGGTCTGGATGGGAACTGACTCGTTAGATGGTCGGGCATCCTCCTCTATCTCTCTCGCTTCACGGGCATCTCGGCGGGGAGCATCGTCGCGTCGATATTGCCCGAGTCTTCCCCTTTTATTAGGGTCTCAATAGCATCCTTGAGATGAACACAATCTTCAGTCAAGTGTCCATGACTCCGATGATATTGGCAGTATTTACTCCAATTTGCCTCGAGCTTAGCAGGAGCAGTGGCGAGGACGTTTGACGCCGCCGTCCTTGAAATTTGTGTTCGCAAACTCGGCCAAAATACGCCCGCGGGAAGTCGTTAGCAGAGTGTACTCAGTAAACCGCCCTGAGGGTCCTCTTTGCTCACAAGGGTCTCGGGGTTTGTCATCCCTCCTCTTCTCGCCAGTTCATCGAGGAGGGTCGTAGTCTTGTCGCAGATTGCTGGTTGATCCACGATTCCGGGGGTCCTAGGCTCTATTGACCGCTTCCCTCTCTTTGTAGTCCATGTATGCTCTGGCTTTCTCGAGGAGGGCATCGAATGTCCGGGGTTGTTCGATGCCAACGGCCTTTCTGAATTTTGTGCCCAGGAGAAGTCTCTTCTCGAGCAGGTATCTCTTCATGTGATCAGTGCATGGGACCTGGATGGCCTCACGGTTTGAACTGATCAATAAATTCCCTCAGGGTCTCGTCGGGTCTCTGGATGATAGCCTCGAGGGCTGCTTCAGTCTTCGGATGCCGACGTGAAGCAGTAAACGAACTGATGAATTGGTTCTTTAAATTTCGCCAGAAGGTAATTGACCCTGGGGCGAGACTCTTGTATCAGTCCATCGCAGCTTTCCTCAAAGTCGTGGGGAACAACCGACATTTGATTGGTCCCCCGATATTATGATAATGCAGCATTGCCTCGAACCTGTCTGTGTGGTCGACCGGGTCGGAAATGCCGTCGTACTCTTTTAGATGGGGAGGCTTCTCCATGCCCGGGGGGATGGGCGCCTCTATGATGGCTCGTGACAAGGGACCACGGGGGTCGTCTTCGTCACTCCTATCTGGCGAGCGAGAAGGAGATATGTTGTGGTGGTTATGGCGGCCCTGGTCGTACAGAGCGTTCCTTGGGCGGTACGACCATTTATTATTTTCCCTGCTCCTGTCTCCAGGGGGTCTTTGTTCTTGACGCGGGGGATGTGATCGCGTCTCCCCGTGTCAATGGGCTGGTCCCTCTCTAATGCGGGGCGTCACTCGATTGGTCAGGGAGAAGGACTTCGAGAGATGTCTCGCCTATGTCTCGGTGAGGGAGATTGGGGATGTTCCTCTACTTGGAGAGGAGGAGGAGAATGGGGCCTCCTATGTCTTTTGGGGGCTCTTCGAGTACCCTCAGTCTTTCTCCTTGAGAGAAGATCAGATAATTCGTTTGGTTTATCGCCACGAACAGTGCCCTGGTCGTGGCATCTGCTCCGGCGGGAACGGGGACCTCCCGGAATTGGTTGGGTTGGTAGTTCTGGGGAGGTGACCGATCGTCTTCAGGTCGTCGAGATAGTGATCATGACGAAACAGTTGCTCTGTCTCTATATTCTGAAGGTCCAGGCATATTAATGGTAGGGACCGTGTTGTGGTCATCAGTACCATCATTTTTTAGGCCGACATTATTGTCGTCGACGTTGTTGTTGACGTCGGCGATGTGGGCGTTCATATTATTTTCTGCTGTTTGATCAGCCATAACAATCAGAAGAGTAATTTAGCTTCAGTCTCGAGTAAATGGAAGACGGGGAAGCAAGTTTCCCACAGACAGCGCCACTGATCGTACCTGACCAGAATGGACCGTCACAGCTAGCTCGAACAGAAGTTGAGAGTGAAGTGGGAAGGTACCTGCAAGACACTCTGATGCCAAAGTGAGTTTCGGAATGAGCAAACAAGTATGAGAGTTAGAAAGTGTTGAATCCCTGACCCTCTCAGAAGAGAGGGTATTTATAGCCCTGAGCACTGGGCCAAGATTCCCATTATTGGGCCTAACGGAAACTGTCAGGGCTTACGTGTGTATGGAGTCCAGCAAGTAGACTCCCCCCTGATCAACTACTCCGCGAGAATAAGGGTTGGACCCGTGATTTCCGGAGGGCAGTTAAGATGACTGACATGAGGACGTGAGCCACGTTCCTCAACAGATATATAGGAAGTTGTCCAACGGTCCCTAACTTAAGTTGTCTGTTTGGATCTTATGTAAATGTATTGATTTGGGTTTCTTATCCAAAAGGCAAATATAAGCCTAGTCCAAATCAATATTAATTCTATATTATATTATCAATTATCATTGTTCTTTTAATTTTGATATGTAGTCTTCTTCTTTGCTTTTCTTTCTGATTTGAGAGATTAAGTTTTAGAACAAAATTTAATTGCTAGCGTACATCAAATATATGTGTGAGGGTTTGAACTTAACATCTCTAAAGCTAGTAAAAGTGTTATACTATTTTTTATTGATATGAAATTTAAAAAATAAAGCTAAAATCTAATTTATTGGTGATGACAAACTAAGGGAGGAAGACTATATGGTACTGATTTATTCGTTCCTCGAGTTCAAATTCAAGATGTTGTTTAATTAAAGAAACAAGTTTCTAAACGTTTTTATATTAAGGGTATAACGGATACTGTTATTTCAATAAATAGAAAATCAGCGGTCTTTCTTATCATTAAACAAATTTTGAAATAAAAGTATAATGTGGTGGAATATATTTTTATTATTAACTAACTGTATAAAATTAATTTACACGGTAAATGAATTATTCATTTTCTCTTTTATTAATATGCATTCATTTTTAAATTAAATATATTTGTTTATTTATAATTAACAATATATATAAAGGTTAATAATTAACAATATATTCCACCACATTATACTTTTATTTCATTAACATTTTAAGTGAGCTCATTAACATTTTTTTCTAACTCATTAAGAAACATTACAATTATTTCTTATAAAGTGCCAAATTTTAATTATAAATAAAAAAAGACTCGTGATCATTTATTAATTCATTAATATTCAAAATAAATAAACATGCATGCAAAAAAATCCTCTTTACTCGTACAATTTTTTAATACATATTAGTAGTAATAAATAAATATAATAATGCAGAAAAAACAGAAGTCAAATTTAAAAGAGGAAATAAAGAAAAGGAAGCGAGTGAGAAACACGCAAGGTAAAAGCGCGTAAATATATTTCTTGTTTTGGTAGTACCTGAACGGCCATGCATGCCGAGTCCCTCCTACACTCACTCTCTCATTTCCTCATATCATCATCTTGAATCTTCATTCTCTCTCACATCACAAACTCACATTCTCTCACATCACAAACACATTCTCTCTCTTTCTCTCCAATTTCTCTCTCTCTCTCTCTCTTTTTCACCCTTCACAAAAACGCGTTCATCAATGGCGGTTTCTCCGTCCGTCGCCACCACTCCGGCTTCTCTTTACGTCGGAGATCTTCATCCCGATGTCTCCGACGCTCAGCTTCGTGAAGCGTTCTCCGATTTCAGTTCTCTCGCTTCCGTTCGCATTTGCAGAGACTCTTCCACCGGAAAATCACTCTGTTATGGCTACGTCAACTTCCTCTCTCCTCAAGACGGTAATTAGTAGTTACGTTCATCGTTGATTACTTTCTTTTCTTGTTCTTTTTCGTTAGGTTTTCTTATCATGCATCTGTTATCGTTTCTTGAATTCTTTTTTATAATGATTATAGTGATGATGATGATAATGATGATGATTCTTGTTGTGTTGTGCTTAATTTTCTTTGAACCATGAGATCTTGTTTTCAATTGCGTTGTTTAATTTGCGTTTTCTTTGATTACTGATTAAATAAACGGAAACATTTAAAATCGGTTTCGTTGTTTTATGTTGTGATAAAGGTGTGAATAATAAAGAGAGAGATAGAGAGAGAATGTAGTGATCAAGATCCGAGTGATGATATTGATGATTATAGTGATAATAATAATTATAGCGATGATATTGATGATTCATTTATTCTTGTTGTGCTTTATTTTCTTTGAATGATGAGATCTTGTTTTCAATTGCACTGTTTAATTAGTGTTTTCTTTGATTGCCGATTGAATGAATGGAAAGATTTAAAATCGGTTTCGTCGTTTTATGTTGTGATAGAGATATGAATAATGAAGAGAGAAATGTAGTTATGAAGATCTGAGTGTGCTTACTCTGTTAATGTTGTTAATCTGTTTTGTTCTATTTGGTTGTTGTGATGAAGCGATTCGTGCAATTGAGCTGAAGAATCATTCTATCTTGAATGGAAAAGCGATAAGGGTGATGTGGTCACGTCGTGATCCTGATGCAAGGAAAAGTAGTGTAGGGAACGTGTTTGTTAAGGTATCTATCTATTTACCACTCTTTGATTTGAAATAAGTTAAGCATGTGCTTGGTGTTGGTTATTGTTTCTGAAAGGGGGATTTCTGGTATCATGGCAGAATTTAGCTGAATCAATAGATAATTCTGGACTAGAAGTTATGTTTAAAAAGTATGGGAATATTTTGTCGAGCAAAGTTGTCATGTCCGAGGATGGGAAGAGCAAAGGATATGGCTTTGTTCAATTTGAAACAGAGGAGTCTGCAAATACTGCTATTGAGAAGCTGAATGGCTCTACTATCGATAATAAGCAGATGTAAGTAAAATTATGCATTGTTTTGAGGTAACTTTTTCATCTTCCATATATATTCATGCTTTAAATTATATACTATTATTGGGTGGGTTTACACAATTTTTGTACTCCTATTATTTCTTGAGATTGATTTAATCTGATTATATAAGTTCTTGTAACAGATATGTTGGGAAATTTGTCAAGAAAAGTGACCGCGTAATGTCTGGCCCTGATGCTGGATATACAAACCTGTACATGAAGAATTTGGACTTAGATATTACAGAAACACTTCTGCAGGAAAAGTTTTCCTCTTTTGGGAAAATCATTAGCTTGGCTGTTGCAAAGAACAACAATGGGATGTCAAAGGGTTTTGGCTTTGTGAACTTCGATAAACCAGATGATGCTAAAAGGGCAATGGAAGCAATGAATGGATTGCAACTTGGTAGTTATTTATTCTATTACTGTGTAGGTTTTAGGCTTGGCAAGGTTGAAACTTCTTGATATTGATTCTGTGTATTTTCTGTTTTTGTTTGTATCAACAGGTTCAAAGATTCTGTATGTATCCAGGGCACAGAAGAAGGCTGAGCGTGAGCAGATCTTGCATCAGCAATTTGAAGAGAAACGAAAGGAGCAAGTCTTGAAATATACGGTAACTTTCTTACAACTATCATATATATAATAAGCCATTTTTCTCTTCAGTTGTCTTAGAGTGTCATCATTTAACTTCCAGGGCTCAAACATTTATGTGAAGAATATAGATGACACTGTAAGTGATGAAGGACTGAGGGATCATTTTTGTGCATGCGGCACTATAACTTCTGCAAAAGTTATGCGAGATGACAAAGGGATAAGCAAAGGATTTGGTTTTGTGTGCTTTTCCACTCCTGAGGAAGCAAATAAGGCTGTGAACACTTTTCATGGTAAGTGAGTTAAGTTGTTGACGGGATGTGTTCTTACACGATACATGTTTCAGAGTAGTTAAGTAGTTAAGTTGTCTGGTGGTGATATGAAATAGGAAAACAAATGCCTGATGTTAGTTCCAATAAAAGTATGTAAGAACTGCATGCTATATTTATCGGGAACAATTTGAGAGATTAGATATAGAATCATCATGCATCTTTCCATCAAATGAATATGGAAAGTGTCAGAGCTTATAGTTCTTTGTTCATATTCATTCTATAGGATTTAAATTATTTGATAGTTACTATGAAAGATTAATAGAACTTTCAGTATCTTGTCCTGTATCATTACCAGGGTTCCATTCCATAACTGCATGAATTCTAAGCCTAGTCCTTTTCAATGGTTTTTTTTTTGTTGTAATTTTGTTTAATTTTTCTATGTGCTTGTGACTATGTATGTATGTGTTTTGGCTGGTTGTTGTTGAAGATTCCCTTTGTGTACATTACGATGTGCTTGGGTTGATTTTAGACAATTGAAGTCTTCTTTAATTGAATTGTGGAGAATGCCACGACTATCCATTGGGTTTATGGGATAAGCCTCCTAAAAATAAACTCTTGATTTAATCTAAAGCTCATTGTGATCTTAACTTAAATTGTAGGGTGAATATATCTTTATCTGCATCTTTTAACAAGTTCATTTTAAAGGAGCTTTTTCCAGGTTTATGATATGAGACAAGATTAACTTTGTACGTTAATGGAAATAAAGGATACTCGATAAATCTGAAAATAGATTTTGTCTTCATATTACTTTTTGTATACTAGTTTGGAACTGAAGATCTTGCAAATTTTCATATCTTCCTCTTTAAAGCTTTTTTATTTTAAGGTTTATAATATTGTTATGCAAATAACATTTACATCTTACACCATCTTATCTGCAGGATTCATGTTCCATGGTAAGCCCCTATATGTTGCTCTTGCTCAGAAGAAAGAGGTCAGACAGGCACAGTTGCAACTCCACTACGCACAGCAAATTGCAGGACTAGCTGGGCCATCAACTGCCATTGTCCCTGGGGGATATCCTCCTTTCTACTACACAGCTACTGGTGTTGTTTCACATGCTCCTCCTCGGGGTGGGCTACTGTATCAGCCTATGCCATTGAGGCAAGGATTAAGGGCTAATGGCTCTGCACCACCTGCTAGATCATTCCAACAGTCATCTGCACCTGTTGTAAGTAACAACTTCGTTAGAAACACATTATGTCATTAATTTTTTTCTCGATTTTTCATTGAGGATTTAGGGAGAATGAAAATAGGAACTTGAGGGGAAAAAACTTACCATGGAGAAACTAACTGGTGACATTCATTTCATTTGGAGAAACTGCTACTGTTTCAATAGGAGTTTAACGAGTTATTTGTATTTTTCATTCACAGGTTTCTAACAATACTAGGCAGCATAGGCAGAATAGGGGCAGGATGAGTGGCCATGCAGTATCACAGGGAAAGACTCACTCTGGTACATTTATGCCACAAGCCCAGCAGGCTTCTCAGTCAGCGATATCTTCAAGAGAGACAAGTAGTCAGCAGGTTTTTTCTCTCTCTTTCCCCCCCTTTTTCACTAATAGAACATGATTCTAACATGCTAAAAAAATTCATGTAGCATTAAATGCTTATGCATTGCACATCCTCAGATTCTCTACACAACTATCAGATCTCACGACATGCCAGTGCTACTTGTTTTTCTGAACAAGACTTTATACAATGCTCTAAAAATATTTTGCAACTGCACTTGAATTTAGGACTAGAAAATTCTGTTGTCTTGGATATAAAATAGTGAAGATGTTGAGTTTTCTTTATCATAACTGGTGCTTTAATCCCTTTATATACATTTGTTTCATGCATAGTTCTGTTTTCTCAAGTTTGTATTCATTGCAGAAAACCAGACAGGCAAAGTATGTACCTAGTGGACGCCCCCATGAGGTGGAAAAAGGATCTGGATTCTCATCTGGTGGTTCAAACTCTGGTAGAGGCTTACAAGTATCAGAAATGCTCCATCTCATGGTTGCTAATGCTACTCCAGAGCAGCAGAAAGAGATACTTGGTGAGCATCTATACATGCTTGTCCAGAAAATCAAGGTACAACTATTCACTATTCTCTTTCGTTATGTATTTAAGTTGGGCTTTTGAACTCTTAAAGTGTATTCACTAAGCTATCTTGAACAGCCTAACCTGGCAGCAAAGATTACTGGCATGCTACTGGAGATGGACAGTGCTAAACTGCTGGTTCTCATGGAATCACCAGAGTCTCTTTCTGCCAAGGTAGAAGAAGCTTTCCAACTGCTGAAGAACTCTAAAGCTAAAGTTTCTGGACAAGATGTACTTCATTCGAATTTCCTTTCATCTGAGGTTGCGGTGAACTGAAGACTTTAACCTCCAGGAATGCAAAAAATTGATACAAGAGTTTTTTACATGCATATTTCTTCTTGAAAAGAACTTTTAGCTTTATGTTTTCCTACCTTAGGGCCGACAAGAATTGGCAGAAATAGTAAGATTTAGGGTCAACTTTGTTTTGAATGGATTAACTTCGATGAATTTTAGCTTAATTTTTTCATTTTTCATTACTTTCTGCTATACACATGCACAAATTTCTGAATCGAGTAATATGCAAACACGTCACACTTTTAGAAAAGTCTATAATGTAATCATCTTAGCATATTTTGCCTTAACCATTTTTTATATGAACTAGACAATTAGTATCCACAAATCACCATGGATCCTAACTTATCCAAGTTGGGTCATGTATAGATTCATATAAAGGGGGTAAAGCCCTCTTATTACTTTCAGAATTTTAGCACCATTAAGAATGCAAGTTCTTGATCTATAGGAATTTTAGTTCTTTGTCAATTAAACCAATAGACAAGAGACGGTTTACTTTTAAAAAAATTGAAAATGTAATTTAGTTAATGACTACAATTCATAATATTTATTCTTTATTAGGGTCTCTTGGCATTTTATTTCTTAGTATAAATATGCTACTTAGGCTATCAATATTGTAACTCAATTCATTCCTCTATTTGAATATTATAAAGTAGTCCTCTTTGTTATCATTCATTGTTCATTCTTCTTCTCTCCTTTCATTACCTTGCACCAACAAATTGGTTATAGAGCTTTTTGATTCTGTTCTTTTTCTGGGAAACACGAGTGCTTGTGAGTTGTGTGTTTGATTTTGGTTCATTGATTTTCTATTGAAATCTTGAACAAAATCTAAACAGAATTTGATTATGTGGGTTGGGAAACAGTGTATTTTAAGATCTGAAAAATCCGTGCAAGGTTTAAAATGAGTGGAGACGGTAGTTTGAACACTAAACTTCTAGTTTTTAATGGCAAAAATTGGAACAGATGGATGATACAAATGCGTGTACTGTTTGGTGCACAAGATGTTCTGGATCTGATTACAGATGGTTATGTACCAGCTGCAGCAGATGCAACTGAAGAACAGAGAACTGCTGAGAGGATGATGAGAAAGAGGGACCAGAAAGCTCTGTTCTATATCCATCAGTGTGTGGATGAAAGTGTGTTCGAGAAGATTGTTGATTCAACAACGTCTAAAGGGGCGTGGGATTTACTGGCGAGATTTTACGGTGGTGACGCATCAGTAAAGAAGGTGAAACTTCAATCCCTACGAAAGCAATATGAGAACCTGAACATGAAGAGCAGTGAGAAAGTTTTTGAATATATCTCCAGAGTGATTCTGATCACTAACGAGATGAAGGCGTGTGGAGAAACTCTGTCTGAACAGGTAATCATAGAGAAGATTCTGAGGTAGCTTACTCCTCAGTTTGATTACATTGTTGTTTCTATTGAACATTCTAAAAATCTGGAAACCATGAGAATAAAAGAATTGCAAAGCAGCTTAGAAGCACAGGAGTTACGTCTGTCTAAGAGAACTTCTGAGAGAGAAGCTGAGCAAGCTCTGAAGGCTTCTTTTGTCAAGAAAGACCAGAAGCAGAATAGACGTGGTGATAGATTCCAGAAGTCAGAAGCCTCAACTTCTGATGATAAGAAGTATCATAAAGGAAAGGAGAGGTATGACAAAAGGAAGGTTCAATGTTACTCTTGTAAACAATTTGACCATTTTTCCAGAGATTGTAGGTCAAACAGGGATAGGAAATCAGAAGAAGCATATATGGCTAAGATAAACTCTGATGATGAACCTGTACTTCTAATGGCTTCTAAATCTGATGGAAAATGCTTAGAAGATTGATGGTATATGGACACTGGCTGCTCAAATCATTTAACTGGAAACAAATAATGGCTGACAGACTTTGACTCCAGAAGGAGTACAAAGATCAGATGTGCTGATGATAAATATCTTAATGCAGAAGGTATGGGAGATGTCAGAATTAGAGTGAAGAATGGGAAAGACATTCTGATCAAAGACGTTTGGTATGTTCCTGGTATTAGAAGAAATCTGATGAGCGTAGGTCAGCTGATTAAGAAAGGTTTCTCAATTGTTATGAAAAACAATCTTCTGACGTTGTATGATTCCAATCAGAAGTTAATTATAAAGTCTGAACAAGGAGGTAACAGAACATTCAAGGTGAATATAGAAACAGTTGAAACAACGTGCCTTAGTGCAGAAGGCGCTGAAGGTAACAGTAAGTTGTGGCATAAGAGATTAGGGCACTTGAACTATAGAAGCTTAGGGCATCTATGTTCTAAGAAGCTCGTACGTGGTATTTCGAAGATTGTGAAGCCTGAGAAGTCATGTGAGATATGCATGAAAGGCAAGCAACCTAGATTGCCATTTACATCAGAAGTAGCTCCCAGAGCGAAACATGCTCTGGGAGTAGTACATTCTGATGTGTGTGGACCATTTCCAGTACCTTCACTTGGAGGAAACAATTATTTTGTGTCTTTTGTAGATGAGTTCACAAGAATGACATGGGTAACACTCATCAAGTTCAAGCATGAAGTGTTTACTGAGTTCCAGAAATTCAAGGTGAAGGCTGAGAAGCAGAGTGGTCAGAAGTTAAAAATTCTGAAAACAGATGGTGGAGGTGAGTATAACTCTACAGTGTTTCAGAAGTTTTGTGAGGAGAGTGGAATAGAACATGAGGTTACTGCTCCATATACTCCTCAGCACAACGGTCTTGCTGAAAGAAGAAACATAACTTTGCTTGATATGACCAGAAGCATGCTGAAAGAGAAAAAGCTACCTCATGTGCTATGGGGAGAAGCTGTTGCCACATCAGCATATATTCTGAATAGGTGTCCAACGAAGAAACTGAAGGAAGTTGTTCCTTTAGAGAAATGGACTGGAGATAAGCAGAGTGTCAGTCATCTGAAGGTGTTTGGCTCTGTCTGTTACAAACACGTTCCAGAAGCTAGAAGACAAAAACTGGATGATAGAAGCAAAATAATGTTGTTGGTGGGGTACCACGGTACAGGTGCGTATAAGCTTTATTGTCCAGAAACTAATAAAGTTGAAGTCAGCAGAGACGTTGTGGTGAAAGAGTTTGAAGCATGGGATTGGAACAAATCTCAATCTGATTTTGGTGTAGTGCCAACACCAGAGTTATCCTCTGAAGATGTTTTAGAAAGTTCAGAAGATGAATCTGATTCTAAAGATCTTGAAGATTCTGAAGATGAGTCAGAAGAAGATTCTAGCAATGGATCTGATTCTGATCCAGATACTGATGATGATCTAGAATCTGGTGGTAATCATAGTTCTGAAAGGGAAAACTCTGAAGGTGATAACTCTGAAAGTAGTAGTTCTGGTGCAGCTTCAGAACAAGCTCAAAGACCACAGAGAATCAGACAAAAACCCAGAAGGTTTGCAGATTTTGACATGCTACAGGATAATGACGTTGACTCTGAAGGAGAAGTCGTTCAGTGTGCCATGTTAGTAGATTCTGAACCAGTGGGCATTGATGAAGCTCTCAAGAAGAAAGAATGGCTTAATGCCATGAAAGAAGAACTTGAGGCAATAGAAAGGAACAAAACTTGGAAATTGACTAAACTTCCAGATGAGAAAAAAGCCATCAACGTCAGATGGGTTTTTAAGTTGAAACTTAAGCCAGATGGTTCCATTGGCAAGCACAAAGCTAGACTAGTAGCTAGAGGTTTTCTTCAGAAATCTGGGCTAGATTATTTTGAGGTGTTTGCGCCTGTAGCTAGGCACGAAACAATCAGACTGGTGATTGTTTTAGCTGCAAATAGAAATTGGCCTTTAATGCATCTGGATGTGAAGTCAATATTTCTGAGCGGTCCATTACAGGAAGAAGTTTACGTGTCACAACCTCTTGGATTTGTGAAAAAGAATCAGGAAGGGATGATATACAGGTTAAATAAAGCTCTGCATGGACTGAAGCAAGCGCCTAGAGCTTGGAATCTAAAAATTGATTCATTTTTCAAGAAGCAGAGGTTTCAGAAGTGTGAGATAGAATATGGAGTTTATGTACAACACTCTGATAGCAATATGATTCTGGTGTGTCTCTATGTTGATGACATCTTGCTAACAGGTAGTTGCCCAAAAGATATAAAGAAGTTCAAGGAAGTTCTGATGAATGAGTTCGAGATGACAGATCTAGGAAAAATGACATATTTCCTAGGGATGGAGATTTTGTACTCGAAAAAGGGTATCATTCTGCACCAGTTAAAATATGAACAAGAACTTCTGAAGAGATTTAAGCTGCAGAATTGCAAAGTTGCTGTGACACCATCAGAAACCAATCAAAAATTGGATTCTGACTCTGATGGTGATTTTGTTGATTCTACAACCTTCAAACAGTTGGTTGGCTCTCTAAGGTATTTATGTAATACTAGACCTGACATTTGTTATGCAGTTGGATTGGTCAGCAGATTCATGAGTAATCCCAAGTGGTCTCATTTCCAAGCTGTTGTCTGAATTCTGAGATATATTAAGGGAACTCTGAGATATGGAGTGTTGTTTCCTTCTGAAAGAAAGACAAAATCAGAATTAGTAAGTTATTCTGATTTTGACTGGTGCGGAGACAGAGTGGACAGGAGAAGTACCTCTGGATACTTGTTTAAATTTTTGGGAGGTCCCATTTCCTGGAGTTCCAAGAAACAGCCTGTCGTGGCTCTGTCAACATGTGAAGCTGAGTATATCGCAGGTGCTGTAGCTGCTTGTCAAGCAGTTTGGCTTCTGAATCTCCTGTATGATTTGAAGATTGAAGTTGAAGAACCTCTGAAGCTGATGATTGATAATAAGTCTGCAATTGATCTTGCCAAGAATTCAGTGCTACATGGAAGAAGCAAGCACATTGAGACGAAGTATCACTTTCTCAGAAGTCAAGTTCAGAATGGAGTGTTAGAAATTATGCACTGTAGCACTCAGAAACAGCTTGCAGATGTTCTGGCGAAGGCAATTAAAACAGATTAATTTCTTCTTTTGA